GTTTCTTATTGAAGTATAATAATATTATGTTAGTTTCAGATTCTCTTCATTTATTTAAATCTTTGATTTCTTTCATCAGTGTTGTATAGTTTTCAGTATCCAAGTCCTGTATCTGTTTGGTTAGATTTACATCTAAGCATTTCTTTTTTTCTTTCTATTTCAAAACATTGTAAGTGATATTGTATTTTCAATTCCAGTTTTCATATACTCATTGTTAGCATACAAACATGCCATTGATTTTTGTGTGTTGATCTCTTATTCTATAACCTTTCTGAATTAACTCACTCCTTAGTTATAGGGGCATGTTTGGGAGATTTCTTGAAATTTTGTACACAGGTCATGTCATTTGCAAATAGGGTTAATTTTCAATTTATATGCCTTTTATTTCTTTTTCTTGTCTTATTGTAATGGCTAGCACTTTCAGGACTCTGTTGAATCAGAGTCCTGAGAGTGAAGGCCTTTTCTTATTCCCAGTCTCAATAGGAAAAGTGTTACATCTTTTACCATGAAGTACAATGTTACCTGAGGTTTTGTTTATGTTCTTCATCAAGCTGATGTAGTTTCCCTCTGTTCCTGGTCTGCTGAGAGTTTTTATTATGAGTGGGTGTTAAATTCTATCAAATGCTTTTTCTTTGCATGAATAGATACGTTCTTGTGACATGTCTTCTTTAGCTTGTGTATTAGTTTCCTGTGGTCGCTGTAATAACTTATTATAAATATAGAGACTTAATGCAACACAAATGTATTACCTTACAGCTTTGTAGGTTAGGAGTCCTATGTGGTTCTCATGAAACTAAAATCAGGGTGTTGGCAGGACTATGTTCCTTATTCTTTTTTTCTTTTTTTTTTTTCTCTCTCTTTTTTCTTTTTTTCTTTTAAGTGTTTATTTATTTGGCTGTGTTGGGTAGTGCATGAACTCCCTAGTTGTGGCGCTCAGGCTTAGTTGCTCTGCAGTATATGGGATCTTAGTTCCCTGACCAGGGATCGAACCCACATCCCCTGCCTTGCAAGGTGGATTCTTAAACCACTGGACCCCCAGGGAAGTCCCTGAGGGCTGTGTTCCTTTCTGAAGCCTCAAAGAATGAATATATTTCCTTGCTTTCTCCAGCTTCTAGCTTTCCCCATTCCTCCATCTACAAAGCCAGCAATAGTGGGTAGAAACCTCATGTTACATCAGTCTGAATTTCTCCCACAGTCACCTTTCCCTGACTCTCTTTCACATTTAAGGATGCCTGTTATTATATTGGACTCAGTAGATAATCTGGGATCATCTCCTTATTTTAATGATTATTACTTTATTTTAATGTCTCCTTATTTTAATTTGATTAGCAACTGTAATTCCATCTGCAAACTTAAATCCCCTTTGCCATGTAACCTAAATATTCCTAGGCCTTGGAGATTTGGACATTGACATCTTTAGAGAACCATTGTTCCACCTACCACAGTCTCTTTAATACAGTGGAAAACACTGATTGAATTTGGAATATGGAAACAGCCCTGCATCCCTGGGATAAACTCCACTTCCTCATGATGAATACTTCTTTTTATATATTGCTGAATTCTATTGATTAATATTTTTTTAAAGATTTTTTTTTTTTTGTCTGGATTCACGAGGGATGTTCTGTAGTTTTGTTTATTTATACTCTCCTTATCTGGTTTTGGTATCAGGGTGATGCTAGCTTCATAAAATGAATTAGGAAGTGTTCCTTCTTCAATTTTCTGGAAGAGATTATATAATGCATGCATGTATGCTAAGTCGTTTCAGTATCCGACTCTTTGTGACCCTGTAGACTGTAGCCTGCCAAGCTTCCAGGTCCATGGGACTCTCCAGGAAAAAGTAGTGTTAATTCTCATTTGAACCTTCATAGAATTTTTTACCTGGGCCTGGAGATTTCTTCTTTGGGAGTTTAATTTTTTCAATTATTTTTTTCCCAAACAAATGAATATTTTTATTAGCATGGTAAAAAAAATATGTTTTTTAAACACAGGAGATTTTGACCTCAAATATTTGTTAGGTCCTGCTACTGAAATGAACTTGTAGCTAAACAACTTATGAACCATGATGATACCTAGTCCCTTTTGGGGGACTTTTAAAATTACAAATTCAATTTCCTTAATAGTTCTAGGACTGCCTGGACTTTATACACATAGCAAAGATCAGCTCTGGGAATTCACTGAAGAATTGTGTAACTCTTCCTCCCCTGAACTATCTGGTAATGTTGATTATACTACCTGCCATTTAGGGGTGCCATAAATTGTTAATGGTTGATGAGGTCACAGTGGCTAATTTATCAAAGGCAATGGGGATTCATAGACGGATTTAGAGCAATGGAGGGAGGTGGTCATAGTTGCATTTTAGTAAGATTCCTCTGGGGCCAGGGTGGGAGATGTAAGTGGTGTGTGTGAATATGGAGCGCTGAATCTCCAGAAAATGATCCAGATGAGAGATGCTGGAGATTCAGCCCTTGGTTTCAGAAGAGAGGCAACGAGAAAGCAGACAAGGCCACGGGCAAGTAAACTGAGGCCATGTGAGCTCTGTAGGCTCCAAGCAGCTGTGTGTTGCACTCAGTCGCGTCCAACTCTTTGAATCTCAAGGACTGTAACCCACCAGGCTCCTCTGTCCATGGAATTTTCCAGGCAAGAATATTGGAATGGATTGCCATTTCCTTCTCCAGGGGATATTTGCGATCCAAGGATTGAACCCATATCAATTGAGTCTCCTGCATTGGCAGGCAGATTCTTTACCACTAGTGCCACTTGGGAAGCCCCCTAAGGGGCTGGGAGATGCCTATTTGATGGCTGGACCCTGGGTGGGTGGTGAGATGACTCCAAAAGGAGGTTTGGACTGGACACAAAGTGAGAGTCAGGGAACATTAACTATCAAGTTAGAAGAGAAAAACAGAATTTTCTTTGAGCCAAACTGAAGATTATAACAGGAAGCAGATTTTCTGAAAGCTCTGAGAACGGTTCCACCTGTTAGTAGGCACGGTCATATGTATTTCATTTATGCATGCATGCCTGCTGCGTCACTGATTCCCTGACCATAGATTGAAACCACGCCCTCTACAGTGGAGGCATGGCTTCTTAACCTCTGGACCGCCTTGAGACAAAAGATCACAAATCAAAATGACATACTGATATTTACATCAACTTCACTAAGGATACATAGTCCGGGTAAGCAAGTACAGAGTGAGCAGCAGATCATCATGACCCCTACAGAGCTGGGAAAGAACGCTGTTCTTATAAGAAGATACATTGTCAACATTAGAAAAAAGAAAGAAAGAAAAAAAAAAACATGGAGAAGGAAATGATAACCCATTCTTGCCTGGGAAATCCCAGGGACAGATGAGCCTGGTGGGTTACAGTCCAGGGTGTTACAGAGTCGGTCACAACTGAGCACGCATGCATGGCTGATTCACTTCATCGTACAGGAGAAAACTAACACAACATCGTAAAGCATTATCTTTCAATTTAAAAAAAATGGGGGAAAAAAGAAATAAAATGTTAGAAAAAGAAAAGAAAAGAGATCTTTACTGTGGAGCAGGAGTTCCTATCTTCCCATCTTTGAGGATCTCTGGTTAATGTGTTACACAGATTAGGGAGAGAGGGAGAGAAGAGGTCCAAACAAAGAATTGTTTACTTTTTCCTGTCCTGCCTTAAAATACAAATTTTATTGCATCCTGAGTAATAATAATCACTCACATTCCCCAGCTCTTACTATATGTCAAGTCCTGTTCTTTAACAACTCTGAAGTACGAATTGTTATCCCCAGGAGGAAACAGAGAGGTGGAGACACATGGCCAAAGTCACAGAGCTGGGAAATGGTAGAGCAAGATTTGGAGCTAGGTTCACTGTCATTACAGACCACTGTGGCTGGACAGCCCTGTCCCTAACAGCCTGTCCCCTCTTTCGGACCGGCATCGGGTACATTCATCTGTAGCTGAGTCCAGCCAAAAAATTTCCGTGCAGCTAGAGGGAGCCCCTGCCCAGGGCTTTCAGCCCTGCCTGGGGTTGGGGAGTCCCAGTGCTGGGAGTTGGCCCTGCGCCTCAGGGCAAAGGTCCTGGGACAGTGACCAGAGACAAAAGAGCAGCAGCTGTCCCGCGCACTTCTAGCCAGAGTCCGCCCACGGGCACCGCGAGCTGAGTGTTGGGTAGGAGAGGTGGGGGCGGGGTCTCAAGTGAGGTTTGACTCGCGAACTGATTGGTTGGTTGAAGACCAGAACCTAAAACGGATTGGACGCGTAAGGCCCGGGGGCTCCTGCTGACTGGTCGAGGAGAAGCAATTTAACGCTTGATTGGCAGGAGGGATTCCACCCTCTATCGTCTATTGGCTGAAGATGAAATAACCCAGTTGTAATTGGCTGGCGGGCTCCGCTGCGATCCAATCAAGGCAGTCGAGGGCCGCCGGGAGGGTGGAAATTAACCCTTTAGAGAATGCCGCCCGGCTTGGGCACTTTAGAGTCGAGGAGCCGGGTTGTTTCCTCGATTCTGTCCCGCAGGGCCAGGGCAGTGGGGCTCATCCTCCCAGGCCTCCGTGTCTTCCTGGTACCAACAGCTGAGGCCTGTGGGTCCCTCAATAGGAGTGGTCGCGGATCTCAATTTCCCCGTTAGTCGTAGCGGGTTGAGCCCCCCTCTGTCCCCCAGCCCCAGGCCTCAGTCGGTGACCGCGGGTGGAGTCATTGGTTCTCCGAAAGCGGAAGCCCCCGGCCTCAGTGTTCCCAGTGGTGCCCCGAGCTCTCGGTTACCACCTCCCTCCCACGGAAGGTGGCCTCAGGCCTCAGTTTCCCAATGGTCCCCTAGGGTTGAACCCCCACCTCCCTCTCCCGCGTGAAGAGGCCAGAGTCTGGCTTTCCCCGGCTCGCCTCTGCTGGCCGAGCCCCCAGTCGCCCACCGGCGGCGGCCAATGGCAGGGGTGCTCCCCCCTAGGGGCGGAGCCGCGTCACGTGCCGGGAAGAAAGAGCCCGAGGCGCACGGGGCGCGGGGCGTGGGGCGGAGCGGCCATGGCAGGTACGGCGGGTCTGGCGGGGGGCCGGTGGGGCACCGGGCTGGGTGGCTGCACCCGCCCAGGGCGCGCGGCTCCGCTGCAGCCTGTCGCTGCCTGTAGCTCCAGAGCCGCTGTCCCCTGCGGGCGGCGCGGGCGAGGAGGCACCGGATGAAGACGAGGACGAGGCGGAGGCCGAGGACCCCGAGCGGCCAGGGGCATCGGGAGGCGTCTGGGAGCTGCGGCGGGCCAGGGGGCGCGCTCACTAGGCGCGCGGTCACGCTGCGGGTGCTCCTCAAAGACGCGCTGCTGGAGCCCGGCGCCGGAGTGCTGTCCATCTACTACCTGGTGAGTACCTCCCGGCCTCATCCCATCCCAGCTCGTGCAAAAAGGGGAAACCCGGGTCCAGTGTGCTTTCTTGCCGCAAGCCGAGCCCCTGGTATGGGGAGGGGAACCTGAGGCACAGAGCATCATGAGCCAGCAGGAGCCTTTCTGTGTGGGAGAACATAGTTCACGAAACTCTCCATTCCACAAAGGAGAATCTTTGGCTCAGAGAGGACACTAGTGCCTTCCCGGCTATGTGACTTCACTCAACCTAGGCGTATCCTAGTTTCCCTATCCGTAAAATGGGATTTTCTTTCTTCCCATGGGGTTGCATGAGGATGCAATGAATAAACTGCTGCTCAGCAGTGTGCCTGCTATACAGTAAGTCCTTTATAAGTGTTTGTTATCATTACCATTATTGTTATTGTTCTCTTTGTGAGTGGGAGCAGTTTGTGAATTGAGCATCTGCTGTGTGTCAGGCTGTGTTGGGTGTTAGGGACACAGCGGAGATCAAGTCAGATGCAGTTCTTGTCTTTTGGGGCTCACAGTCCAGTGAAGGGAGTGGGGACGGACACGTAACTGGACAGTTTCAATCCAGGCTGATCAGGATGGTACCTAAGCTGGAAGCCTCCTGGAAGGAAGTGGGAGACGGGTGGCAAACCCTGGGAAGCAGCATGGGGTCAGGGAGGACTTCCTGGAGGAGGGAGTCTTGATGAGTACCAGCTCCTGGGTCCAGCCAACCCACTGTCACTGCAGGGGAAGAAGTTCGTGGGAGACCTGCAACCCGATGGAAGGATTGTGTGGCAGGAAACAGGCCAGGTGTTCAACTCACCCAGCGCCTGGGCCACCCATTGCAAGAAGCTGGTGAACCCAGCCAAGAAGTCTGGCTGTGGCTGGGCCTCTGTCAAATACAAGGGCCAGAAACTGGACAAGTACAAAGCTGCTTGGCTCCGGCGAAACCAGCTCCATATGACTGCAGCTGCCGCTGATGAGGTACATCCTTCAGCATCCCTGACTCACTGCTGGATAAAGAGTGCCCAGAGAGAGAATGTTGGAGCTGGGGCTTTGAGGGATGAGGAGGAGTTGATCAGAGTGAGATGAAGGGTAAAGAGCTTTCCAGAGGAAGGAATGGCATTTGCACAGCTTTGTAGGCATGAAGAAACACATGTGCTTAGGGAACCGTTGTTAGCTGATGCAGCTGGAGATTCGATGCCTTAGTAGCTGAGGGGGCTGGCAGCATTGGCAGGGACCAGATTTTGGAGGGTCTTGAATGCTGTGATCCTACTAACACACACACGCACACACACAGAGGCTGGAGTTGATGCTGCAGTCTTTTTTTCTTTTAAAGTTTTTATTTATTTGGCTGCATCAGGTCTGAGTTTTGGTTCATGGGCTCTTTGTTGCAGTACATGTGTCTCTCTGTGGTTGTGGCTTGGCCTCCCAAGTGTACAGGCTTAGTTGCCCCATAGCATGTGGGATCTTAGTTCCCTGACAAGAGATTGAACCCAGATTCCCTGCATTGGAAGGCAGATTCTTAACCTCCTGACCACCAGGGAAGTCCCCTGATACTGCAGTCTCGAGGCGGAATTTCTTGTTTTCCAGGAAGCCTCAGGTTTTGCTCTTAAGGCCTTTCACCTGATTGGGTGAGGCCCACCAACAGTATCAAGGGTAATCTTCTTTATTGAAAGTTAACTTATTGCAGATGTGGACCACATCAACCCGATGCCTTTACAGCAACACCTAGACTAGTGTTTGATTCAGTAACTGGGTATTATAGCTTAGCCCAGTTGACTTATAAAACTAACCTTCATACCACACCATAGGGCTGTTCATTCAGCAAGCATTTAATAAATGCCAGCTGTGTGCCAGGCCCTCTTCTGCGTGCTGGTGATAAAGCGGAGAGCCAAATGAGAAACATCCCTGCCTTCATGGAGAGAGAAACAAAAGAAATAAGTTCTTCTTATCATACTTTGGAAGAAGTGAGCAGGGGCAGGGGATGCAAGTGCTGAAAGGAATAGGATGGCTAGGGAAGGCCTCATTGAGAAAGTGACATCTGATCAGTGAACTGAAGGGGTGGAGGCAGGGAGCTATAAAGAGTTCTGGAAAACAGCACGTGCAAAGGCCCTGAGGCTGGACCGGTCTTGGTGTTTTGGGGGAACAGCAAGACTCTGATGTGGCTGGAGCAGAGAGTGACCATAGGGAGAGAGGGAGGAGGGAAGGGCAGGGAGGGGACAGGGGCAAGTCGTGGAGGGCATGGTGGGCTGTGGGGAGGACTTCGGCTTGTATCCTGAGGGAAGTCGGATCTCTGGAGTACTGTGAGCAGAGTAGGTGTGGGGCCTGAGTCAGGTCCTTAGCGACGCCCTCTGGTGGCCGCTGTTGGGAGTACAACAGGAGCCAGGGATTCAGGGTGCAGGTGGGTGATGATGGGGTGAATCTGGCGGGCCTTTGAGGAGGAGGAAGTGGGTAAGTTCTGGTTAATTCTGAAAGTGGATGTGATGTGATTTGCTGGTGGATCTGATGTTGGTTTTAGGAGATGTTTTGTTCCCCTAAATGTTTTTGCAAGCACGTGAACAGGATTACCCTCATCGGAGATGTGGGGAGGAGCAAGTTTAGGGGGATGGTCTGGGTGGCCTTGTTGAGTGCGAAAACCCCCTTTTGAGATGTCAGGGACTAGCCGGACCTGGGGTCCGGAGGTCAGGGGAGGCCTAGCCTGAAGTCAGGACTGTGGGCAGTTGTCCAGGGGGCACACGGGGTTTGAGGCCACCCAGAAGGGGTGTGGGTGGGGGAATAAAGAAGCGGGAGGGCCCAGCCCTGGCCCAACGAGTGAGATGGAGGAGAATAAGGGGGTGCAGGAGAGGTCGGAGGTAAGCCAGTCAGTGCGGGGGTGAGGATCCTTGAGGAGTTACCAGGAGACGCTGCTGAGAGGGGGCGGGGGACAGAGACTGAGATGTGGCCGTTGGGTTTGGACAGAGAGGTCACCTCGTCAACGGCTCTTTACGAGAAAGGAGGAGAGGTTATTGAGAGAATCTGATCAGCTAATCCATGAAAAGTCTTTGCCAGCTGGATGAATGGAGCAGCAGGGCAAATGCTTGGCATATGCTAAATGCTTGCACGCATTATCTAATTTCACCTTTATGCCACCCCTGTGGGGCTGGAAGTCACTGTGACGTTTTACAGGAGAAAAGAGCCTGAAGTCAGCTTGAAATAGGCAGAGGCGGGATTCCAGCCTGAGCAACTGGTCCACAGCCTAGATTGTCTCTGCTCACTCTCTCCCTCTAGTGGGCACCTGGGGCAACGACAGGAATGGCAGGTTCTGGCCTGCCAGAGTTCTTGGTCGAACTTGGGGGGAGCGTATGGAGAATCCAGCTAAAAGTCCTGTCGCGTTCCCCCACCACCCTGACCCCACCCAGAGCCCGGCCAGCGAAGGAGAGGAGGAGGAGCTGCTGATAGAGGAAGAGGAGGAGGAGGTTCTGACAGGAGCCTCAGCGGAGGACAAGAGTAGGAGACCGCAAGGGAAGGGCCCGTCAGAGCCTGCCCACTCGGGTAAGAGGTCTGGGGGAGGGGAAGAGGTGGGGACGGTGGGGGGAGGTGGACAGAGCTCAAGACGGGGAGGAGGCTGGGTTTAGAGCCCGCTAGAAGCCTGGCTGACTTCCCAGCCCTCGCTGCCTCATTTCACTCTCACCGCCTGACTTTTTAAGCTCTAATTCTACATATCTTGGTCCCACTGACTAATTTCTTTATCCTTACTCCTCCATAGGATTTCTTTGCCCTGTTGTCTGATTTCTAGCCCTGCTGCCTGATTTCTTTGCCTCCCTATCTGCTCCTCACCTGATTTCCTGATCCCTTCTTCTGATTTTTTAGTTTCTTATGTCCATCCAGTTTGTTAACTTGCTCCCTGATTTTTTTCTTTGTTTTTTAAAATATTGATTGATTGATTGATTTGGCTGCACTGGGTCTTAGTTGCAGCATGCGCGATCTGGTTCCCTTACCAGGGGTGGAACTCACTTCCCCTGCATTGGGAGCATGGAGTCTTATCCACTGGACCACCAGGGAAGCCCTTTCTTGTGTTTTTTTTTCCCCCCCTTTCTTGATTTTTTAAGGCTGCCCCTGGAGTTTTCTTTCTTTCTTGGACTGTCTGGCCTTGGTTTTCCAGTTCCTGGTTGGGGAGAAACTGATACTGACTTCTTTTCTTAACACCCCCTCCCTGCCAACTCCCCAGAGGCCACACCCCCAGGGAAAAGGGTGGAAAACAAGATCCGGGTGCCGGTGCGCTACTGCATGCTGGGAAGTCGTGATTCGGCCAGGTCAGGTGCACCCCATGCCCGCTGGAACCCCCACCCTGATCCCCATCTACAGAAGCTCTTGCAGCATGGGGTTTGGGGACAAGGGCAGGCAGGGGAAGGATGGAGACAAGGCCTCAGATCCTCAGAGCTGGCTGTGGGACCGAGGCAGCCAGTGTGTGGGTGAGGGAAGGGCCTTGGGGTTCCTGAGGCTGTGGAACCTTCCTGGCTCCCACAGGAACCCCCACACCCTGGTGGAAGTAACGTCTTTCGCAGCCATCAACAAGTTCCAGCCGTTCAACGTGGCTGTCTCCAGCAACGTGCTGTTCCTGCTGGTGTGTGCCCAACGCCTACCCTGTCCCTTAGGGCTCAGGGGCTCCCAGGCTGGGGAGGGGCTGGTCCCTCCCAGAGGGTCTTTGGAACAGAGGCCTTGTCTGCTCTGTTCACTATTGGTAAATAGTAGGCACTCAATCAATATCTGAGGAAGGAGGGGGGTGGGCTGACCCCCAGGACGGCCTTGGGGCCTGGCGCAGTCTGAGCGGGTCTTCCCATGTCCCTCCCCCTCCCCAGGACTTCCACAGCCACCTGACCCGCAGCCAGGTCGTGGGGTACCTGGGGGGCCGCTGGGACATCAACAGTCAGAGTGGGTATTGGGGGCCCGTGGGCAGAGAGGGTGTTTGGGGGCCGGGGTCGATGTCCACCCCTTCTCCCGCCTCCGTGCAGTGCTCACGGTGCTCAGAGCCTTCCCCTGTCGGAGCCGGCTGGGGGACGCGGAGACCGCGGCCACCGTGGAAGAGGAGGTGAGGGGGCGCATGGCNAGACCGCGGCCACCGTGGAAGAGGAGGTGAGGGGGCGCATGGCAACGGGGCATTTGGTGGGGGTGGGGGTGGGGCAGGCTGGCGCGCACACAGCTGTGCTGGCTAATGCGGCAGGGCGCCTAGCGCCGCTCAGCAGGGGTACAGATAAGTAGGTGTGAGCTCCAGTCCCCGCACTTGTGACCCCCACCGTCATTCTTCGTCTGCACAGATGCCGCCAGCCCCTTCCCTTCTCAGCCTGCCTGTCACCTGGTAAAGGCCGGATAAATATTAAATGCCCCCCTTTGATGTTTTCCTAACAGTGCTTAATACGGGCCTAGCACTGCGCTGAGCTCTCCACGCCCACCTTTTCCAGCATGGTCAGTTCCGGAGGACAGAATAGGTGTGCATTCTGTGCACAGCTTTCTCCACCCACCTCTTCCTTTCTCTTTACGCTTGCCTCTACTTGAGTTCACACATCTGCCTCTTTATTTAAATATTAGCACCTACTGTGTGCCAGGAATTGTGAGCTGGGGGATACAGCAGTGAGCAAAATAATACTTTGCCTTAGATTTACAATAGGAGCATTTATTATTTTATTATTATATTATCATCATTATTATTTTATTATTTTTTGGCTGCACCACGGCAGCTTGTGGGATCTTGGTTCCTACACCAGGGATTGAGCCCCACCTCTTGGCAGTGGAAGGTCCAAGTCCTTAACCACTGGACCACTGGGGAATATAGGAGGCTTTAAAAAAAAAATTGTTTGGCTGTGCTGGGTCTTTTTTCTTAGTTGTGAGGCGTGGGGGCTTCTCTTATTGCGGAGCACTGGCTCTGAAGCATAGGGACTTCAGTAGTTGTGGCTCCCAGGCTCTGGAGCACAGGCTCAATTGTAGATGGGCTTATTTACTCCCCGGTATGTGGAATCCTCCCAGATCTGGGGTTGAACCCTTTATCTCTTGCATTGGCAGGCAGATTCTTTACCACTGAACCACCGGAGAAGCCTGGAGCATCTTCTTTATGTCTTTGTTGACTGTCCCCCTCACTGGATTCGCTGAGCGCGGGGCAGGGTCTGTCTCGGTCGGTCACTGCTGTATCCTAAGGGGCCTGGTACATAGCAGGCGCTCATTAAATGTTGGCCGTGTGGGGCTGGATGGGTGTCCCTGGCGTGCTGGCCGCCGGGAGTGGCGTGAGCGCACCAGGGCTGGTGGAACCCCACCGTCCCGCGCCGGCCCCAGCCGCGTCTCTGCCCCCAGATCTACCAGAGCCTGCTCCTGCGCGGCCTGTCCCTGGTAGGCTGGTACCACAGCCACCCGCACAGCCCGGCGCTACCGTCGCTGCAGGACATCGACGCGCAAATGGACTACCAGCTGCGGCTGCAGGGCTCCAGCAACGGTTTCCAGCCCTGCCTCGCCCTGCTCTGCTGTGAGTCCAGGGAAAGGGGCGGGCGTGGGCCCTGCCGGTCACCGAGATCCCAGGTCCAGCCCCTTCTCTGTGTCTCCGCCCGCAGCCCCTTACTACTCTGGCAACCCCAGCCCGGAGTCCAAGATCTCGCCCTTCTGGGTCATGCCGCCGCCTGAGGTAGGCGGGGCTTCAGGGGAGGTGTGGGCGGGGCCCTGCGTGGTTGTGGGCGGGGTCACGAGGGCTTGTTAGAGGCAAAAAGCCAGTACTCTGGTTCCCGGCTCATCTGGGGAGCTGGGGCCTCAGTTTCTCTCATCTGAGATAGGAACATAATCATTGCGTTGAGGCAGTAGGTGTGAGTGGTGTTGAAAAGGTTGGGGCTCCAACTGTAGCAAGCTGCCTTGGCTACCAGTAGGGCCTCCGACCTGAGACCTGTCTGGTTTCATTCTCCAAGTCGAGTCTTGGTGTCAGAAATTAGCTTTAGAAAGGAATTTGGGAGCCATGGCGGTGTGTGTGTGTGTGTGTTGGCGGTGTGTGTGTGTGTGTGTGTTGGCGGTGTGTGTGTGTGTGTGTGTGTGTGTGTAGAGATGGATGCCACCTTCTGCCTCCCTGGTCACATTGCTGGGTTCTTCGGAGATCCCACGTGGCTCTGAATCTGATCCCAGCCCAGAGCCAGGCCTGCAGTATTGATTCCCTGGCTCCCAGTCCAGGGAACTTCCCGCTGTGCCCTGCAGTGTTGGGCTGGGGAGCGGGGTCGTAGCTAGTGGTGACCAGCTTGTGTCTCCGCCAGCAAAGGCCCAGTGACTACGGCATCCCCATGGATGTGGAAATGGCCCATGTCCAGGACAGCTTCCTGACTAATGACATCCTCCATGAGATGGTAAGCTCACTTTGGGGTGGCAAGGGTGGGGGACCCTGGGAGGAGCAGGCGGGGGCTGAGGGCGCCCCGCTAGTTGAACATAACTCTGGGACTCAGGAAGCTGTGGTTGAAGGTGCCACATCAAGATCCAGATCAGGTCTCTTCTGCTGCTGAAAATCAAGGGCTCTCAGGATCAAGTCCCCAGTCCCAGTCTCGGCCCCTACCCCCACCCCCACCAGGCCTCCTTGCTGTTATGGAAGGTCCTAGGTCCTACCTTGGGCTTCTGCACCTGCCAGTGATTCTCCCAGTGGAGACATGTGAGGACCTCAGGTGTCACTCCTGCCATTCAATAGGCACTTAAACAGAGCTAGTTCATCACACCTGTGACGTCACAGATGTTCCTGCTCAGACTAAGGCTAGGCCAGGGAGCTTTTCAGGGCCGGGTAGAAAGAATCGGTGCAGCGATTCTTCCGCTTCTGGGGGAGGTGTCTCCTTCTCCAGGCAGCCCTCCCTCCTGCCAAGCTCCTTCATTTCCCCAGGGTGGCACTGCTCGGAGGTTCCTCTCTTGGGAAACTGGGTAACCCCTACATGCTGCCCTGCGTTAGTCCAGAGGCCCCTTTAAGGGCCGCAGCGGCTGGGGCTCATGTGTTCTCTGTCCCACTAGATGCTGCTGGTAGAGTTCTACAAGGGCGCCCCTGACCTCGTCAGGTTCCAGGAACCTTGGAACCAGGAGCACACCTACCTGGACAAGCTGAAGGTGAGGCTCACATCTCGAGTCCCGTGCAAACCCTTCCTTTTGTAAAGACCTCAGGGAGCCCCACAGGAATATATCCACAGGCAGCCCGAGGAAAAAGTTAAGTGGGCTTGTACAAAAATATTTTAGTCAGAGATGAGCACTGCCGAAGAAAAGTCACGTTTGTCACACGAGGGTGATGACAGTGGTGGAGATCGCTATCAAGTGAGGATGAAGATGTAAAAGCCTGTAGCCCTTGTGGCCCTGGGGCTATCCCGGCTGGAGACGCTGCCTCTGAACAGGTGGGGCTCTGAGTCTGAAGCACAGCAGAGCTGAGCCAGGCAGAGGGGCTGGTGCTGCGAGTAGGCTAATCCAGTCCGCCCTACCCCTCAACCATGTGTCAGCAAGGGCTTGGCAGCCTTTTGTGTCCTTCCTGGGAGCCATTCAGAAGACACATTCCACTCGGCTTTACAGAAAAACAGCTTCATATGTTTGCTCTTCTGTTCAGACTTAACAGTGGACGGGGCTTAAAGCTGCCACACTGGTTACCTCCTACCGTGGTGCTGGGTGGGTAGGGCGGGCGTGGCCTCGGTGCAGGGGGGCGGGGCGTGGTGGGGAGGAATCATACCCCTGGACGACATTCCTAGGCCCAGGATGCACCTGAAGGTGTGGTTTTAGGGACACCACGGGGGTTAGCGGAGCCTTTAGCAGGGCAGGAGCCCTGAGGCGCCGGACCTGCCTGTTTTCAGATCTCCCTGGCCAGCAGGATGCCCAAGGACCAGGGCCTAGGCCACATGCTGGAGCAGGTTTACAGCATCCTCAAGCAGGGGAACTGAGGGCACCAGTCTCCAAACACAGGAGAGAGGGCTCTGGTCAGACGCAGCCCCTGCGCCTCTGGGTGAGGGGGTGGGTCCAGGGCTTCTGTGCTGTTTGTCCTGTGTGACTGACAGGGGCTCAGTTTATATAATAAACGAGAAACGGGCCAGGTGTGTCTCAGGTGCTGTGACTGTGGAGAGGGCCTGAGCTGGCGACCAGGCAAGTGACAGCCACCCCCACCCCTGCTCCTTGCTGCAGGCTGGTGCCCATGCAGGCCCTGCCCTGGCCAGAGACCCCTTGGGAGGGCTTGCCGTGCACCACCACCAGGCCAGAGACTGTAGAAAGAGACATTTAATACTTTTAAAAAAAAAACATCAGGATTACATTTGGATCTGCCCCAGGCTATGACATCTGTGCCTCCTCCAGATGCTGGTTAACCAGAGGGCCTCAGGGACGATAAGGGGGGGCCTGGTGTCCTCGGGGGCTTTATCAGTCACCAGAGGAAAGGAATGTGAGCCAGGTCCGGGGTCCGCTGCTGGCCTGGGCAGCTGCCTACCTTGCTGTGGAGATGCCTGAGCCACTGTCCAGAGAGGGTGTGGTGGCTGGCTTGGGACAGGGAGTTGCCCGGGACTCCCCAGGGGCCCCAGCAGCCAGGGCTCAGGAACATTCACTTGTCAAAGCCTTTGTGCTTGACCTTCCACATAGTGGAGGCTGGGCTCCCATGGTCCCGCGTGTGTCTGTATATTTATGTGTATGTGTTTGCTGGTCATGGCAGCTCGTGCCAGAGAGAGATGCTCCCTGTGCTTGGCTGGAGATGGGGCGGTGGGCCAGGGTGTGGGATTCAGTGCCCTGCAGGAGAGAGATGGCCTGTCCTTGGGGGCCGGCCTCTGAGACCCCCAGGCTCGTCTCTTCCTGAGCCCCCAGCCAGAGGGAAGGGGTGAGGGCCTTCCAGTGAGGTGGCATCTGTAGGCATTCATGGGCCCAGGGGACCCTGGAGGGGGGTATTTAAAAGCAGGGTGGTGAGTCTCAGCTAGGGGGTCTTGCCTAGACCACCCCATCGCACCAACGTTCAGTCCCATCCTTTTTAGGGTAAGTCTCCAGGCTGTGAGGGATGGAGGTGGGAGAGGACATGTGTACATGTGTGTAAATGTTGGATGGAAACAGGAGATGATGTGAGTGTGCATGTATGTGTGTGGATGGAGGTGGGAAAGAATGTGTGTTTCAATCTGTGTGTGTGAGAAAGAGGTGGGGGGAGAGGAGGAGGTCCACCTGGAGTCACCCGTCCCTGGAGAGTGGTAGGAGTTAGTGTTTCTAAGAGCACCTTAGTGTGAGCCTCCTGGGGCGAGCAGGTGGGCTGGGGGCAGAGTCTAGAGCAGCAGGATGGGGAACACTGCCCAGCCCCAAGACGGCCACGCGGAGTGGGGAAGGGAGCCCCTTGGCGGTGAGTGCTAGTGTAAACGGGGACCTGCTGCCCCTGGACCGGCAGGAAGCGGGCCGCCCCGCCAGCCACGAGCACTGCCCTGGCCGTGTGGAATGCAGAGATCCGGACGGAGGGGTGGTCACTGGGGCAGCGGCACCAGCACCTCCACGTAGCTGAGGGGGAAGAAGCCTGACTGGCCATCCAGCATGCCCTCGTACCAGTTCTCATCGATCTGGTTGGTCAGCGTGATGATGTCGCCCTCGTGGAAGCCCAGCTCCCCGTCGTTCTCAGGCTCGAAGTCGTACAGGGCCTTGCAGCTCGGCTGGTCCAGGGGCGCTGAGGGTGGGGGATGGTCTAGGCTACCACATGCCCCAGGCGGTACACAGGGTGATGCTGCCTCCCCTCCTGCCCACCATGGCTCCCACAGCTGCCCAGAGGAGTAGGCGATGAGGGGAGGAAGACTCTGGGAGGAGCTGGCGATGCCTAGTGGCATCAGGGTGTCAGTGAACAGAAGCGCATGGCGCTTGGGGCGCCACTTGGAGCAGTGAGGGCCAGCTCCACTTCTACCGGAGGAGGGGAGGGGAGGCGGGGGAGAAGAACCCTAAACCCCAGGTGGGACACTCACGCATGCTCCTGCTGGGGGTCCGGATGGGCTTGTCAGAAGATCGGAAAGATGATGAAGCTGCTTGCAAACAAAGCACAAGGTGGGCTGAAGATGCTGGGGTGGGGCCTGGCGCCCATCCCGGGGTTGGGGGGGTGCTTTCTCACAGGGGACTGGCCCTGTGGCTGGGGGCTACCCCAGAAGGGGCCCAGGGCAGAGCGGAAGCCTCTTCCCCCTCACCTGTGGTCTTGGGGGCCGCGGCACAGGGGAAGCCGCCATTGGGCTGCTCGGGCTCTCCGAGGTCCAGGAGCTCCCGCGGCTTGGGCTTATATTCCCGTTTGGGGCGTGAGGAGGCGTCCCGCATCCTGGAGGGGAGGGAGTGCGTGTCGAGGTCATCTGCCACCCTAGCACTCAGGGTGCATGTGGGGGGCTGTGTGAGGGGATACCATGCATGGGAACACTGGTGGGGGTGCCCTGGTGTGCCTCCAAGGCTGCCTACAGGCTGGGTCCCACTGAACCCAGAAGCCTCCTTGGTGATGGCTGCCCAGGTGCTGCCACCCCACAGACACCCTCCCTGCATCAGGGAACCACCCCCACTAGAATTTCCCTTTTCAAGGTCCTGGGCGCCTTCTGACTGTGAGATGGCCTTCGGGGCTGAGCACCCAGGGAGACAGGGAAGGAGAATGGCCTTCCAGGGACAGTCAAGCAAACTCCATCCCCCAGATATCCCAAACCTTTCCTCTGGGACCAGTGGGAGTGTGATGAGGTCTTGCTGTCTCCTGGGACCCCCACCCCATGCAGCCTGGGGGTTCTCTCTAAAGAGGTAACCCCCCCCTTGCTGCTGCTCACAGCGGGGTGGGGTTTCCCAGGGGCAGGTCATCCCCCCAGGCCCTAAAGGGCCAGCCCAGGTGGCCCCAGCCCCAGGCCATTGGGCCTCGTAGCTGGCAGAGTGGGCCGCTGGTCACAGGGAGAAGTCAGGGGCCAGACTCACCTTCGCTTGAGCTTGTCGGCCAACTCATCTAGGATCTGCACGGCCTGCCGGTGGTAGTCCAGCTGGGCGTCCACCAGGGCAGAGAGCTGGCTCACCTGCTCGATCTGCAAGGGACCAGCCAGGGCTGCAGTACAGCCCTCCTTCTGACCCCCATCTCCAGCTGCCTCCTGCAGGGAGCCTTCACAGATTGTTCTGGACATGGGGCCATCCCTGCCTGTCTGCCAGACCCTTGAGCTGCGGCTGGAGGAGGGGAGAGGCCTGAGGAGACCCCAAAGCCTCAGGTGGCCAGTCGCCCCTTTGGGTCCTCTTGTACCCACTTTCTTTCCTTCACATCCTGAACAGGCACTAAGCCTGCCACTGGCCCTGGGACACTGGCATCACCGCTGGGCTCATTTTCGGGGCTCCCCCAGGGTCCTTGAGGAGGGGTGCACAGCCCACGTACGCACATCAGTCTCCAGGAGGTGGTGCATACTGGTCTCTGCCACCTCCTTGGACTCCTCGAACTTCTCCATGGCCTGGCGCAGCTCCTCGTCGGGGATCTTGCCCTGCCGCTTCTTCTTGTAGTCGAAGTCCAGGCGGCGGCCCTCCAGCTTCTTCAGGTGGTGCTGCGGGCCAGGACGGGGGTCAGGTCTCATGCCTGGGGGCTCAGGGAGGGCCTCCCCACAGCACCTCCTGCTAGGAATCTGGCCCAGGCGGGGCTGGGCGGGGGCATACCTGGATCTCCTTCAGGTCCTTGTCGCACAGGTTCTGCAGAGGGTCGATGAAGTTCTGCTTGACCTCAATGTCCAGGGAGTCCTTCACCTCAGCCAGGCGCTTCATGGACTCTCCGGCATCCAGCAGAGCGTCACCTGGGGAAGAGTGTGGGGTGGGGGAGGGAGCTGTCACTGGAGGCCTTGGCCTGCGCGGCGAAGACACACGTCACCCCCACAGCCAAGAACCTTGATGCCAGAACTGAGAACAAGGGACTCTGGAGTTTGACCCAGAGCCACAGGGGCTGGTATGACAGCTGTTCATGAGCCACCCTCCCAGCCCTTTGGAGGCACCCAGGTCTGGACTGGGTCAGCTGTTGGGGGATACAGCTTTCCCGTGGCCATGACGCTGTAGACAGTGCTCATGGGAGACAAAGAGAGCTTCCAAAGAACCCTCGACTGCTCTCTTCCACGGAGCCAGCCAGCCCTGGAGAAGCTCCAGAGACTGCCCCGTGTCCTCAGGCCCCCTCCACCTAGCGCCTCCCACTCCATCCAGGCCCCCCCACCTTGGCCTCACCGAAGTTGGACTCGCCGCCCAGCTCCTTCCCATGGCGGATCATGCACTCGCCCAGCAGGCCCTCCGACTGTGGGTAGCCAGGGTTCTTCACCTGCCCTCGGATCTTGGACACCGTGTTGAGCATCGTCAGCTTAGCCCGAGAGGCTAGGAGAGGATGGGCCAGTTGGGCATGGGTGTGGTCTTGAGGAACTGCCGGGCCTGTGCTTGGCCAGCACCACCAGCTGCCCATCTCTGCCCATTCATTTCTGCAGTGCTCCCCCAGCCCAGGGAACCAGAACCTCCCAGACTTCCCCTCTTCTGCTCTCATCCTCTCCTGGGAGCCTCTCCAGTGGGCAGGAGTGGGGTGGGGCGGGGGGGAGAGAGGGATGTGCTCCTCGAGACCCCCAGAGAAGTGTGGTAGACAGGTCTAGGTGTGGGGATACAGGCATGCTTGCACCCCCAGCAGCTCCAGTCCGTCCCTGGCACAGGCCTCAGGTGGAGGCGATGGCTGCTGCTGCCTGTCCAGCACCCATTCACCTTTCACCACAGAACCCAGCAGTCCCTGCGTCCCTCTTGGTCCCGAGATCCCACTGCATGCTCCAGAGGCAGGTACACAGCTGGGGCCTGCCAGCCAATTCACACTAGTCCAGCTAGTTGACAGAGAAAAACATGCTCTTTTCTGCTGGGACCACTAGTTGTAAGGGTAATTTAAGGCTAGGATCATGAGAAATAGGAGCTGACAGATAAAGCAGTAGGAAACTTGAGACCCTGAGGACATCCTTTGAATGCCTGGATCCAGCCATGCCTGAAACCACCCACCCCTGGGTGTTTCAGTTCTTTGTGCCCATGCCTTTCTTCTTCATGCTCCAGTAACCAGAGGACTCCTGACTGCCAGAGACCTGAGGAGTTGGG